GGGAAATAACCCACTGTCCAAACACACATTATTATTAGAAATCGAAATCGAATTTCCTAATTCGAATTTTAGTTCCGAATTACCGAAATTCCGAATTTAATTCGAAATCGGTTCCGAAATCGAAATTTTTCGAGTTTGCACACATACCAATTATTCAGTCATGTTTCGTAAATTCAATTTTTTAAAAATAGTAGTTTGTCTGTGATGTTTGTGTTCTATTTCCAATTTTACTCTTATGAATTCAAAATTTAAATTTGAATGATAATATGAAAATGATTAAAAGGAAGGATTATATTAAAAAGAAAGACTAAAAAGTAATTTGATTTTTTTAATATGATAAATGTTTTAGAACGAAATATTTGCTTCTAGACGGGCCTCATTGGGCCAGGGCTGACTGTCAATGAGTTTATATATGAAAAAACCTTAACTCATTGACTTTAAATGGAGTTGAATTCTCGCCGTTTCTTTGAGAATAGATTTGAGAATAAACCATTTTTGTTACTTTCACTGTCCCAATTATTCAGTCATGTGTTGTAAATTTAATTTTTTAAAAATAGTAATTTGACTGTGATGTTTGTGTTCTATTTCCAATTTTATTCTTATGAATTTAAAATTTAAATTTGAATGGTAATATGAAAATGATTAAAAGGAAGAATTATATTAAAAAGAAAGACTAAAAAGTAATTTGATTTTTTTAATATGATAAATGTTTTAGGACGAAATATTTGCTTCTAGACGGGCCTCATTGGGCCAGGGCTGACTGTGAATGAGTTTATATGAAAAAACCTTAACTCAGTGACTTTAAATGGAGTTGAATTCTCGTCGTTTCTATCGATCGCTAGGGCTGTATAGGACTACTATTATATTGTTGCTGGGAGAATATGTCGAATCTTTGCAGGGTTCCCCAAGTTTGCAGCATCTATTCCAGACCGCAGGCAAGACCAAGATCTTCTCCATCATCATCATCATCTCAGGCATCCCGGCCGTGGATTTTGCACTCGAAATCTGACAACTATTCCTTGATCGGCCGAAGTGGCTTCAAGTCCCAAAGTTTGATCAGGTCCAATCCTTGCTTGGCAATGGCAGCCAAAGCCAAATTAGTGGATGATGATCGTGATCATGAGGAGGGATCCGAAGGGGGGATCCTCTCTCCAAAACCCTTTTTGGGCCCCCACTTGTTTATCCCTTCAAAGTTTGATATCATCGTCCATGACGATGACGACGACAACACCGGACTTCGTTCGGAATCTCAAGTCCCGGGTTCTCTAAATAGTAAGTGCGAGGATGACAGTTGTTTTCATATGCTGAGTGTCGAAGAAGAGAAACTAGTCAAAACTCCAAAGCATTTGGGAAATGCTCGTTGGGAAAGAGATCTCTTATTTCCCCCGGACGCCATCTGCATAGGCGCCTCGCATGGCTGGGTCGCATTCTTTAACTTGTTCAGAGACGGCGGAGGAGGATCTCTGTTTCTCGTCAATCCCTTCACCAGCGAAAAAACCGAGTATCCACCGTTTATTTCCCTTCCTCCGGTTGAGACCCTTCCTTTCATGGAGGCCTTGCGCACTTGCGCTGTGCCACCGAATCCGAATCACAGTTATTGCTCCTCTGTCAGCTCCCGGCATCCACCTCTTTCCTCCGAGTATATTGGGTTGAGCCGGAATCCCAGAACCTGTTTTGTGAAGTTCATTTTGTCTTCCGCTCCATCCCTTCCGACTTACCCTTTTCAAAAAAAGCCGCGTGATCACCAGAACGAAGACTGCATTGCCGTGGTGATTGGAGGGGATAAAAATGAGCTGGCTTTTTGCAGGGTCGGGGAAACAAGTTGGCATGGCTTTGGGGGGGAACATCCTGAACGCGGTCCTTATTCTGACGTCATCTATTCCAGTAAAAACCGGCTCTTTTATGCTTTAAGAGGTGGCGAATGGTATTTCCCAAAAGATGGTCGCTTTCATCCCTTCAGAGGCCCAGACAGGGTGGTAGCAGATGGAGAAATTGGAGACCCAGACACTCCACTATCATTTGATGATTATGAATTCTTCATACACGAGAGTGAGGTATCAGTTGAATACTGGGACCTGAGTAGTAGTAAGACTCCAAGAGGGAAGATTTGTACTCAGGCTCCTTTACCGCTTACTAGTTTGTACGAAGCGGACCCAACTTTACGGATACAATTCTGCCACAGGAGAAGGTATTTAATAAAATCTTGTGGAGCGGAAGACCTCCTGTTGGTTGAGAGGCAAGTTACTAGCTATATTGATGAGAAGACAAACCAGCCTTATCCTCCGTGTGGATATAGGGGGTCTCGCCATTTGGGTCCGTACACCGGCGAAGATGAAGTTACAAGCGGCAGAGCTCGAGACGACAAATACACGTACCGGACATGTTCCTTTAATGTTTACAAGTTGATCTGGGTAGAGCATGCCTACGACTGGAAACCTATTAAATGTTTAGGGGATCAGGCCTTAATTGTTGGGCTGAATCAGTCCATGTCTCTGTCAACCATCGAGTACCCATTCCTCAAGAAGAACTCCATCTACTTCAGTGATGATGACATTGAAGAAATGGTCAAATCTGACAAATTTGGAGGCCACGATTTTGGTATTTACAGTCTTGGAGACGGCGAGGTTGGATCATTCATTTGTACAGATGTCAAGAAATTTGAACAGCCTCCCGTCTGGATTCTACCTAATCCAGTCTAATTTCTTTTGCCAGCGTGAATGCCTTAATATATATAGTGGTATAAAGTATTCATTTTGTTTTGCAACTTTCTCATATCTGTTCTTTTCCAGTACAAGCTTTAGAAATGGAATGAGTACGCCTTTGCTTTTTCAGTTTTTTCGTTGATTTAGCTACCTTTGTCAAGAAATTTGGCTGCAAAATAGTTTATTGCTAGTATTTTGGAGATGGCAAGCTCTAACCTTTCTTTTAATCTTTATTTAAAATCTAGTGAAGCATAATATGATTAGTTATTGTTGGGGTGTTAGTAAATTCCCATATTTTCTTATACTCATCGGGCTCAAAAAGGACAGCATTAGGGCCAAACTTGTTTGATTTAGTAACAAGAAAGGGACAAAAAAAAAAAAAATTAGATTCATGTTGTCACCCGTCAAGCTACACGTGACAAGAAAGGAGGCAAAAAATTACTGCAACGATTTGATATATGTGAGGTAAAAAGGTGATAGGGAAATATGTTAACGGAAAACATAGTAATTTTTTTGAGAAAAATCGCAATCCAAACGGAGCCTAAATTCTCCTCCTTCTTCTTGTTCGGTTATTGTTGAGTTGTAATTCAATGCGAAACTCTTCTTTACTAGACATAGTTTTTTCTTTCATTTTTTTGTATACGAAATCTATTTAGTTTATTCTTTGGTCCCAACTTTTGCTGATATGATTACTGTTTCTTAATAATCGAGATCTTACCAGTTCCATACACAGTTATTTCAAGACACTCTAATTCCTTTATTTTTCCTAACACGCTAATACACCCCTTCGTGCGATGTACAAGTAACCAATTTGCGTGGAAATATAATTAGGAAGGATTGGTTGTTGTCCCGCTGTCTGGACATTATTGACGCACCAATAAACAGGCACTTATTGAAAACGTTAAGCGATTATCATTTTAGTTTGTACCAAAAGATTTTCCTTTACTTGGCAGAAATTGTTTAGCCAAAAAAGGTTGTGTTTCTGTTAAGAGATGAAAATCTTTGGAACATCTTAAAACAGACAGTGAACTGCTAAAACAAGGTATACTTACTCGGATTTCTCTGTTCTCTTAGCTTTAAGGATATAAATGGGACATGGAAAACGGTGGTTGGTTAGAGGAAACTGAATATCCACTTCTTTGACTTCTAAACTACAACGTTGAAGAACATATGCAATGGAATGGCATGAAGAAGATAGGTGTAATAACTTCTATATATATATATGTGTGTGTGTGTGTGTGTTTAAATTATGTTTAGTTTTGTAAATATAAGCTTTAAGATATTTGTTTAGTTTATGATAAACTGCGTTATATTTCCATCTATTTGGTGAACATCCGGTTGTTAATTTTATGCTTTGATGGCTCCTCTCGATGACAAATCCCTTGAGGGTGAGACCTGGCCTGTCTTCTATGGCACCAGTTGCTGGAAATTTGAGTTTCAAGCCTTTGTTTGAGAATCGGGCATAGTCTAATACATGTAGGCAGAAATTTTTTGGATCACGATGGATTCTCTTTTCATTATCCCTTTCTTCTTATTTGGCCGCTTACCCTAGCCTTCTCTGCCTGATTTTTAACACATCCAAGTTTTTCTCTCATCGCTCTCTCTCTCTCTCTCTTTTTTCTTTTTTAAATAGATGTATACGTGTATTTCTACTGCAAGTATTTTGCACATTTATTCTTTTTATTTTTTTAAATAGTTTTATGTGCATTTCTACTACAAGTAATTTGCACATGTTGTTTCTTGAGTAAAAATTATTATGACAAGAGGCGTTTTCTTTTGCCACTTTGAATGTCTAAATATGGTATGTAACTCATACTACAACAAATGAATATTTCAAAAGATTTTGTTCCATATTGGAAAACCAATCACATAATCACTCCCCCCCCCCCCCCCCCCCCCCAAATTATATGTTCCGGTAACTATCCAGCAGGAATACACCAAAACTTCTTATTAAGAAAAAAATCAAAAGGTTGAAGATGATGCATTTGATGATGAAGATCCAATTTTCAGGAGGAGACGGTGAAGATGTTTTTGACCAATGGAATCTAAAAAGTTAGCGATTATCAGCACTCCCTCCATTAATTTATGTGGCTGCAAACTTTGCTCTTGTAATGTTAGAACAGCACCGGAGTATGGCGTCGCTAAGACATTGATTGGTGCAGCAAAACCGGTGTTAGGACAAGAGCAATTAATCATCATCATCCAAAGAAAAAGAAGAGGAACAAATGCTAATTTTTTGTATATTTAATAAGGAAGGAAGTTGCATGCGAAAGCTAGCGATGCTGAGATAAAGTGCCTTCAAAGGCCAGGGAAAATCCACACCGGATGGGGGTCCATCTTCCTGTACTCGTCCTGATACAGGACATCAATTTCTCGATTCTTCATGCTGAAAACACCCAAATGATAAGCTCCAGAAGTAGTGTTGGGCTCAACTTCAGCATCTACACAAGTGAAGTAGATAGAATCTTCTCTTAGTCTTAACCCCGGATTAATGTAATCCCCAGCACATACGGAAATACATTCATTAGTACCCAAGAACAATGAGCGACCCCCTAAGCTCGTCACTTTCATCCACTTGTTCTCATCAAAGTCCAACTTGAAAACATCAAAGCACTTTGTCAACCTATGGGCACGTTTCTCTTGGCACATCAGCTTTGAAAGTTTGGAAATACCTCAAGACTAGCAGCAATTCACCCGAAGAATCTACAAGATACTTCTTCCGACATAGCTGTGCTCTCTCTAACTCATCACCGCTGTTCAAGCCAGCAAAAAAACGAAGCGAAGGATACTCAGATTTTACGAGAGTCATCTTGGGAGAAGATGGGCAACTGAGATCCCAGGCTTCAAGGTGATCACTCTCGCACAAAGCATAAAACTTTCCATGCTTGCTCAAGTACATAATATCTTGATAAGAGGAGCGCGGTCCATTCAATGCCGTCCAAGTTTCATCCCCAACCCTGCAGAAGGCAAGTTGAGTATCTCTTCTATTATATCCATGGATAATCATAACGCTACATGGTTTATCACTGCCGCCGCCGCCCGATTCGTGAAGATTATGAGGAGAAGAATTAGACGGGAATGGGGGTGGGGAAGAAGACAAAATAACCTTATGAATGAAGGATTTGCTCAACTCTTTCGAACATACCGGTAAAATTCCACCAGAACAAGTAAAAGTTGCTTGTGTTGAGCAAGAAAAATGATACTTGCTCTCCAATGTAACGAACTGTAATCCGAGCTTTGGCTTCCTTGGGCGGTAAGGGTGCAGTTTCTGAGACACCTTACACAACTGTTGGAAGAGTCTCAATTGGTGGAAGTGGGATAAATGGGTAGGAGAAGGAATCAGCGGGGAGAAGGGGGTTGAAGAGATAGAAAGATCCATGGTGCATATTCACGAAGGCAAGCCAGCCTTTTGAAGATCCAACGCATTTAGAATCATCAGGCGAGAGATACCGGCCAAGCCACATAGTCCTCATGTTCTTCTCAACATTAAGCAGTTTCCTGTTTGCAAAGTTCAAGACATGATAACGCCCTGGATCGTCTCTAGGACGGTCCTCGACATCGTCGAAGCAGTCGGCGTGATGGGTATACATAATTCTTCTCGTATCTGTATTCATGTCAAATCCAAATGGCACCAACAGGCAAGGGAAACCCTCTAGTTCATCCGTCTCTGCCGCCTCCTCCAACTTGTCGAATGGTGACCCACACTCGGATGAAAGGGATGAGAAGGCACGAAAACTGCGCTTCAAGGAGCCAGTAGTGCTGCAGAGGGATTGGGATTGGGAGAACTTGATGGATGCAAAGGCAAAAAGGCCTTGTGGGCGATCGTTGATGTGCCGCCGCCCGCCCGTGAAAGTTTGAGATCTCTTCAAAGATGCGCTCTGAAGAGGTGTTTTTTGGCGGGTAATTAGTCCAACCGAAATCAGCTCTCTTGTTAATGTGGTGAGGTGAACTCGATTATCTCACCTCGGGTGGAATGAAGTGAGGTTGCACGGTCGAAGTGGAAGGCGGGGCTTTTCCCCTGGGATCACTCCGACGATCAAGTTAGTATGAGAACGAGAATAATAAGAGTATGAGTCAGTGAACAGTATGCTTACTTGTTGGGAGTGTGTGTGGGGTATTTATAGAAGGAGAGTAGAGGACAGGGCGGAAGGCTCATGCTAGTGGGACCCACTCTCTGGCATTACGGCTCTGTCCCCTGTCAGGAGGCCTGACCCTGACACTGTAGCCTTCTGGGTATGATGACGGAGAGTATTGTGCAGGTGCCATTAAGTGCCTCCAGTGCTTTTCAGATAAAGCACTGGTCCCGGGTGATGTCAGGTGGCTTGACATCATCAGCGTGCAGCTGAGGTGGAGGTGCCGAGGTCACCTACACGGTAGACTAGGGATCCGGCCGAACTCAGGGGATATGCCCAAGACACGGATGAGCTCTGATGAGGGACGAGGTGGGTTCATCTCGGACATGCGGGATGGCCGAGGTGAGCATCCTCAATAAGCCCCCCAAGCCTCGGGAGCTCCAGGCTAGGGAGGTACCGAGGCTTCCTTGTGCCGAAGTCGTAAAGAGTCGGGGTCCCGAAACTGCTCCGGAAGATGCGGGGACGTGACACGTGGGCGAGTCAGTTGACAGGACGTGGTCACTGGTAACCGTCGCGTCGTGAAGTAGTGGGACGTTTCGTGCAGAGGGTGTCAGTCGAAAGGACGGGGCATTAATGAGGAGAGAGGGAGGCACGGCGTTTTGAATTCGAACGTGGCCGTCTTTTCGCATTCTTGCCGCCTCTTCGGATTCCCCCCAAACCCTTATAAATAGGGGGTCCTTTTCCCCGTATGGCCCATCACTTTCTTTCTTTGCCTGCGATTTGCAAAATTTACGAGTGTTGCCGAGATCAATCCTGCCAGCCGAGATCACTGCCGAAGTCATCATCTTCGTTCGATACCGTAGTCAACAGTAAGTATCTTTCTTTCCATCTCGTCTTACACACATGGCCAAAATAGCTAAGACCCATAAAGAAACCGTGACACCGAACTACCAGACCGAGGTGAGGCCGGATCCTGGGGAAGAAGTGACGACGTGCAGCTCTGAGGGGTCGACGCCTAGTTCTACGGAAGGATCAACCGAGGTGAGAGCCAGCGAGGCAGGCTCGGAATTGGAGTCATCCGAAATGAGCGAGGGTGGTTCCGAGGTCATCTACGATACCGAGTTCGGGACCGAAATACCCCATGACGAGGGCGTACCGGAGCCAGTCGCTCCGAGGGACGCGGCCAACATCGACTTCGGCAAGATGCCGAAGTTTAGAAGTCGCATAGGAAGAGATAGGGTCGGGGTATATCATCACACCGCCCGGGCCAGATGATTCAGCCGAGAAGCCCCCCATGGGCATGGTGGCCATCTACGTCCAACAGTTGGAGGCCGGGCTGAGGATGCCGACGTCGAGGTTCTTGAGAGACGTACTTCGTTACTTCCGCATGAGGATTACTCAGCTCACTCTGAACGCCGTCCGCATCCTCGTAGGCTTCGAGATGTTGTGTCGACATCAGGAGGTGACTCCCTCTGTGGATCTCTTCCGTCGATGCTACACTCTCAAGGAGCATGGGACGGACAAGGGATGGTTTTATATCTGCAACCGGAACAATGCCATCCCGAAATTCGTGATTGGTGCTCCCAGCTCGATCAAGAATTGGAAGCGCGACTTCTTCTTTGTATCCGAAGTGGACTTCCCCAGGGATTTTTGGTGGAGGCCAATTAAAGCGAAGGCCGACCCCTCCGCAGGGGATGCCGAGGAGGAGGCCTTCCAGAAGCCGATGGGGTCAGGACTTCGGATATACAGTTTGGACTACCCCGAAGCCGTGCTGGTTGACGGGGGAATTAGCCGAGTTTTGCTCAGTCCTGACAAGGCTCCCTTCACTTCCACTAAACTTAAGAAATCTTGTAATTTTTCTTTCATGGCTTTTCTTTCATTTCGGTTGTGGCAAATAATAATGTTTGTTTCTTGTGCAGTGGTCAAATTGTCCGATATCGTCACATCGGGTTCGGCCGAGGTGGCCAAAAGGTTGAAGAGGAAGAGCTCCGATGAGACGTCGGCCCCTCCGCCGAAGAAGAAGTCACAAGGGCAGGCCGCCAAGACTTCGGCGGCCAAGAGCACTCCCGCCACGGCAGGCCAAAGCAGCTCGGCCGCCGCGGCTACTGGGTCTACCTCTCCTGTGTCAGAGGGAGTGCCTCTTGAAATTGTCAGGGCACTCCCGCCTCCTTATGGCCGAGGTAAGCAGTTGAAGCCCCCAATCAATCCGGTCTCGGGGACCTCACTATGGAACCGTTTCCATAGCCCCCCGGTGTTTTCTGGGAAGGAGAAAACGCACCCCGACGAGCACTGGTGTTCGAACTGGACACTTACGGTCAATGACAGGTGCAGCCATCCTCGGGTTGCACAAGAGCTGGTGATGCAGTCCACCTTGCCAAGAGACTTGGAGTATATGAAGAAACTGACTCCGGCCGAAGTGGTTCAAAGCCTCATGGTGACCACAGCCTCCAACTCAGCCTTTGTGGCCTAGATGACGCACCGATACTGTGCTCTGGTCGAGGAGCAGGATTCCGGCAAGTTACAAAATCAGATCTCCAAGTTGGAGAAAAAACTGGCTGTGTCCGAGTCTGAGAAGGCCGAGCTTCAAAGACAGCTTAAAGAGGCCGAGACGAAGGATGAGGAGGCCGTGGCTACAATCAACAGTCTCAGATCGGCCCTCGAGGAAGAGCAGAAGAGGGGGGACGAGATGAAGAAGTTCCACGAACAAGACCTCGAGAGTGCTGGGGCCTCGGCCGTGGACGCATTTCGGAGGTCCGAGGACTTCACCCGGGATCTCGGCCAACTACTCGCGCCGAGTTTCATGTTCGGCTTCACGTCAGTCGTGGAGGAGGCCGCAGCTCACCTCTCCTCTGAAGCCTTGGAGTCTCTGAAAGGCAATGCCAACTACAATGAGGACTCCAAGGAGTTGTGCGATCGGATGGCCGAGAGCCTCCAAGTTGGAAGGAACTTGTCCGAAGTCCGGGACGAGTTCAACAAGTGGCTGTCCGAGCTCGACGAGGTGTTCGAGGAGGGCGATGGAGTAGGAGCTGGGGGAGACGTCGGCGAACAACAGGGAGGAGGAGATCTTCACCCCGGCGGGGAAGAGACCGGAGAGAATGCTGTCCAGGAGGGAGCCGAGACGGAGGAGAGAGCCTAGACAGGGGTCGGCTTGTAGTCATTTAGGTAGGGTTCCGAGGTGGGAGATGCTTAGTAGTACTCCCTACCTCAGTCTTGTATTCTTTTTTGTGTTGTCCTTTCATTAAATGAAATGTTTATTTCTTCTTATCTCGGCACTTTAATTTCTTGCTTTGACTTCGTCCCTTGCTTGTCCCCCTTATTTTTGAATAGCGTAATATCGATGTTGAAAAATAACATAACATCCGAAGTCATTACTTGATTAAAAATTCAAGCATAATACATTTTGAGGTTCTCGGCATGCCAAGACCTCGGCACTAGTGAGCCATCTCGGTAGCTCAGTTTATAATATCTCTTAAGGTCAGATTCCACAACTCGGTAAGAGCCTTCCCATTTGGGGCATAATTTTCCTTGCGGTTCAGCTCGGCTGATTGAGTTTTTTCTGAGAACCAAGTCTCCAGGCTGGAATCTACGGTGTCTGACGCGGGCATTGTAATAGTGTGCCAGTGTGTTCTTGTAGGAAGCTATCCGGGTTGAGGCGAGGTCCCTTCGTTCTTCGACGAGGTCGAGATCCAGCTGTCTCTCTTCGTAGTTCACCTCGGCGGCATAGACTGCCAGTCGAGAGTTGGGGGTAAGGATCTCGGCCGGGATGACGGCCTCGGCGCCGTAGGTCAAGGAGAAGGGGTCCTCTTGTGTCGCTGACCTCGGCTTGGTTCGATACGATCACAGGACATTGGGGAATTCCTCCACCAAGATGACCCAACTCGATGTAGTCGGGTCTTGAGACCATGCAGGAAAGTTCGGTTGAAGTTTTCTGCTTGACCGTTGGCCTGGGGGTGGCCCACCGAAGTGAAATGTTGTTTGATGCCAAGGTTTGTGCACCAAGTTTTAAAGGGGTTCTTGGCAAATTGCCTTCCATTATCCGAGATGATGACCTGAGATATGCCGAAGCGGCAGACGATGCATTTCCAAAAGAATTTTTGAATTGCCAGCCCGGTGATGGTGCTCAGAGGCTCGGCCTCAACCCACTTGGTGAAGTAATCCACAGCGGTTACCAGGAAAGTATAACCCCCGACGGCTCTGGGAAAAGGACCTATGATGTCTGTCCCCCATTGCTCAAACGGCCAGGGTGAGGTGATGGGCACCATGAAGTTTGAGGACTGGTGGTACTCGGGGGCGTGGACTTGGCAGGAAGGGCAACCGAGAACGAGGTCCTGGGCGTCTTGTCGAATGGAGGGCCATAAATATCCAAGAAACAAAGCCTTCTTGGCTAGCATTCTGTGGCCGACGTGAGCTCCACACAAGCCTTCGTGGATCTCGTGGAGGACGTGGCGTCCTGTCTCGGGAGTGACACACCTCAGCCATGGGCCGAGATAGGAGCCTTTGTACAGCTCTCCATCGCGGAGAGCGTACCGAGCCGTCATGCGTTGTATTTTTCTCGCCTCGGCTCGGTTTTCGGGGAGGGCTCCCGGACCTAAGAAAAGGATGAACGGGGTCATCCAAGTATCTTCAGAGTGCACGGGGCAGGCCACCTCTTCCACGTATCCCGATTCACTCAGGACTTCCACTAAGTCTGTTTTGTTGAGGTCAGAGAATGATGTGGAAGCCAGCCGGGATAAGGCGTCGGCTCTCTTATTCTGGAATCGGAGTATTCTTTGGATTTCGAAAGACTCGAAGTACGCGGTGAGTTGGTGAACTTTGGAGAGGTACCGTTGCATGGTCTCATCCTTGGTCTCGTATTCACCAAGAACTTGGCGTACAACGAGTTGGGAGTCACTGCGGACGTGGATTTGCTGGGCGCCGAGCCTGCGGGCCAGTTGGAGTCCAGCAATTAAAATCTCGTACTCGGTTTCATTATTGGTGGCTGGGAAGCCAAAGCGGAGGGCGTACGAGCACACTTCTCCCTGGGGGCCCTCCAGGAGCAATCCAGCTCCGCTGCCCTCTCCATTAGAGGATCCATCTACATACAATATCCACAGAAATGGGGTGGACACCTCGGCAAAGGCGGAGGTGGATTCTGGACCTTCCGTGAAGGTGAGTTCGGCAAGAAAGTCGGCTAAAGCTTGTGCTTTTATAGCGGTGCGGGGCTCATATGACAAGTCATACTCTCCCAATTTAACAGCCCACTTAGTGAGGCGACCGGAAGCCTCGGGTCGCACCAATATTTGTCGAATGGGTTGGTCGGTCCTGACGGAGATGGGATGGGCATGGAAGTAGGGTTTCAATCGCCGAGCTGCGTGGACTAGTCCCAGCACTAGTTTTTTCACCTGAGTGTATCGAGTCTCCGGCCCGCGGAGAGCTCGGCTGACGTAGTAGACTGGCACTTGAGTGCCCTCATCCCGGATAAGAACAGCGCTGACAGTCTCGTCGGCTGCGGAGAGGTAGAGGTAGAGTTTCTCCTCGGGTCGAGGTGAAGCGAGAGTTGGTAGGGGATGGGGGTACTGTTTTAACTTGTTAAAGGCAGCCTGACACTCCTCAGTCCAGGTAAACTGATCAGCCTTTTTTAGCACCTTAAAGAAGGGCAGAGCTTTCTCAGCAGATTGGGAGAAGAAGCGGTTCAGCGCGGCCAGACGTCCAGTCAGCCGTTGGAGTTCTCGGATGTTCCGAGGTGGGGACATGTCCTGAATGGCTTTGACCTTGTCGGGGTTGGCCTCGATTCCCCGGTGGGAAACCAGATACCCCAAGAATTTTTTCGAAGTGACGCCGAAGACGCATTTCTTGGGATTCAGTTTCATCCTCGAGTCTCGCAGGACACCGAAGACTTCCCTCACGTCTGACAGAAAGAATGAAGTGGTGAGACTTTTGACGAGGATGTCGTCCACATAGGCCTCCACATTGCGGCCGATCTGATTCTTGAAAAGTCGGTTGATCAGCCTTTGGTAGGTCGTCCCGGCGTTCTTTATACCGAACGGCATGGTAGTATAACAATAAACACCTTGGTCGGTGTAGAACGCCGTCTTCTCTTGATCCTCTTCACTCATTCCTATCTGATGATACCCTTTGAAAGCATCCAGGAAGCAGAGGATCACGTGTCCCATTGCCGAGTCGACGAGGACGTCTATCCTCGGCAGGGGGTATCAATCTTTGGGGCAGGCCTTGTTGAGATCGGTGAAATCCACACACATTCTCCATCCTCCGATGTCCTTTTTGACCATGACTGGATTGGACAGTCAGGTGGGGTATTGGATCTCGTGAATCATCTTGGCGGGCAAGAGTTTGTCGACCTCATCGGATATGGCCTTGCTACGTTCGGGGCCGAAGTGCCTTCTTTTCTGCCTCACAGGACGGGCCTGTGGATTGACGTTGAACTGGTGGATCATGAGCTCAGGTGGCACCCCGACCACTTCATCAGCGGACCACGCGAAGATATCTCGGTGGTTCTTGATCAGGTGGATCATCTCTTCCTTTAGGGGCGAGGGAAGTCCGGCCCCCACTTGGTCAGGTCTTGACTCATCCAAGACCACCTGCTCCACCTCATCCCCGAGCTCAAGCCTGCTAGGCTCACCTACCTTCTGAGGTTCGATACTGTCTATGGAGAGGACCGCTGGTCTCTTTTCTTCAGCTCTCGATGCGGTCCGGGGGGTGACCGCGGCCTAGATGGTGGCGAGGTAGCATTCCCGGGCGGCGCTTACGTCGCTGCTCACCTCGGCCACCCCCTTTGGCGTTGGAAACTTGAAACTCAGATGGTAGGTAGAGTACACAGTTCTCAAGGCATTGAGCGTGGGTCGGCCTATTAGCATGTTGTAAGGAGAGTCTGTTTTGACCACCGCAAAACTGACAGGCACGGTTCGGCAGCGGGGATGGCGCCCGATAGTCACCATCAAGGTCACCATACCCTCCGGGTGGACGACGTGTCCCCCGAAGCCGACGAGGGGAGTTCTGACCTGAGTGAGTTGCTCCCTGGTCAGTTTCAAACTCTCGAAAGTTCGGTAGTACAAGACGTCTACCGAGCTTCCGGGGTCAACATAGACCTTTTTGACTATTTAATTATTGGTAAGGACTTCAATCACGAGGGTCTCGTGATTGCTGGAGGCGGCAGGGACAGGGTCATGGGGACCATAGGTAATCATCTCGGATAACCTGGAGCTCGATTCGGCCACCTCCATACCGGCTTGGCGGTAAGTCCGTTTTCGGGAGTTCTGGCTATCTCCTCCCGTCGGGCCACCGGCGATGGTGTTGATCACCCCGGCGATGTTTGGGCCGTAGCCTGGTGATCTGTCGCGTGGAGGCCTCTGATCCCCCTTAGGTTCCTCGGGACCTTGGCATTGAAGCTTAGTGTCCCGCCTGTCTTCTCGGCGAGGACCTCGGCTCTCTCGGTAGGAGGCGCTTCGGTTGAAGCCCCCATCTTTGCGGACGAATTGTTTCAGGTATCCTTGTCGGATCAGGTTTTCAATATCTCGCTTCAAGTCGTTACAATCTTCGGTCTCGTGCCCCACATCTCGGTGGTAGGCACAGTAGAGGTTGAAATTCCTCTTATCACTTCTTCCTGGGATCTCAGGAGGAGTTCGACCGAGGTGATTCTGCCTCATCACAGCCAAAACATGGGATCGGCTGGAATTGAGGGGTGTCAGCTCGGCGTCCGAGGTGGACGACCTCCCCTTCACGATCCGATCAAAGACGCTTCGGCGGTCTCGGAACTGGTTGGATGAGCTGCCGGGGCCTTGTTCAGCTCGGCCGGTGTCCTTTCTCCTCCGGGATTCTTGCCCGGTACGGGCTGCTTGGGCCTCCCGCTTCATGCGATTCACGTCCTCACATTGGATTCCTTGGTCAACTCGTTCCCAAAGTTCCCGGAGTGTGCGGGGGTAGTCTCGATGTATTTCGGTGTTGAAGATTCCCGCAATCAACCCGTTGGTGAAAGTGGCTATGGTAACTTGCTCATTTTGATCAGGTATCTGTACGTTCTCCTCATTGAACCTCTGCGCATATGAGCGCAGTGACTCGCCGGGAGTCTGTTGCAAATTCAGGAGGTAAGCTGAAGTCTTTGTAATGGGTCGGGACGACACAAAGCGGTGGATGAACCGGTCTATCAGCTCATCCAGGGAGGAAATACTCCGTGGTTCTAAACTCCAGAACCACTTCCGGGCAGTCCCATGTAGGAAGATGGGAAAAACCCGACAGGTCACTGCGTCGGGGTCGCAGTAGAGTCGGAATGCGGAGATGAAGGCGCGGAGGTGATCCTCGGGGTCACCTCGGCCGTCATAGGTGTGCAAGTTTGGAAGCTTAAAGTTCGGGGGCACCATTTCCCCATTGATGTCATCAGTGAAGGGCGTAGCCCTCATGCAGTCAGACGCTAGGCTCCCGGGACGCCGAGGTGGGTTCTCGGCCCGTTTCCCTAGCAGTCCCCGGAAAAATGCCCGGGAGATGGAGGCAATTTTGGAGGTTGCCTTAGAAGAGGCGCGCCTAGAGGTACTCCGAAAAAGACGCCCCTCATCAGAGTCCTCACCTGAGGGCACTTCAGGAGACTTCGTCGGCCTCCTCTTGGAAGATTCGGCCTTTTCTTTCCCCTGCCTTTTGAGGTACCTTCCTAGCTCCTAAAAAATGTTGTGGTTGTCTGATACGAACTCGGCCATCTTGGCAATGGCGCCCTCGTTGTTGGGCTGGGTCCTTTGGGACCCTTGCTCTTCAGAGATGCGATCTTGCTGGGCTCCCGAGGTCTGCCCAGCCACAGTTGAGGGGACTCTTCCACTTCTGGAGCGCGTGGATCTCATTTTAGCAAGTCTCTTTCCCACAGACGGCGCCAATTGAAGAGGTGATTTTTGGCGGGTAATTAGTCCAACCGAAATCAGCTCTCTTGTTAATGTGGTGAGGTGAACTCGATTATCTCACCTCGGGTGGAATGAAGTGAGGTTGCACGGTCGAAGTGGAAGGCGGGGCTTTTCCCCTGGGATCACTCCGACGATCAAGTTATAGTATGAGAACGAGAATAATAAGAGTATGAGTCAGTGAACAGTATGCTTACTTGTTGGGAGTGTGTGTGGGGTATTTATAGAAGAAGAGTAGAGGACAGGGCGAAAGGCTCATGCTAGTGGGACCCACTCTCTGGCATTACGGCTCTGTCCCCTGTCAGGAGGCCTGACCCTGACACTGTAGCCTTCTGGGTATGATGACGGAGAGTATTGTGCAGGTGCCATTAAGTGCCTCCAGTGCTTTTCAGATAAAACACTGGTCCCGGGTGATGTCAGGTGGCTTGACATCATCAGCGTGCAGCTGAGATGGAGGTGCCGAGGTCACATACACGGTAGACTAGGGATCCGGCCGAGCTCAGGGGACATGCCCAAGACACGGATGAGCTCTGATGAGGGACGAGGTGGGTTCACCTCGGACATGCGGGGTGGCCGAGGTGAGCATCCTCACGCTCCATAGCTGATCTCCACCCATCGGCCTAACTTGACTAGACAGCAACAATCTTTCTGATACTATGAAACTCATGATCCTGTTCTCCTCCTCCCTGTATATGCTCCCGTTCTTCTGTTGCTTACGTTAGTGAGGGAAGTCCGTCCAGCAAAGGAGGCTGCGCAGGCGGTTGCGTGATGAAGAAGACTTTGAGATGTTGGCTGGGATTAGAAGAAGAGGTTCACTGGACATCTTTAGGTATTTAATTTCAAGGGAAAAAAGGCGTCCCCCGAGGTTTGTTGCATATTACGAAACGAACCTTACAATATGACCAAATCACACTCATCCCCTTTCAGTGACTAATGCAGTTAATTACAGCCTTTGATACTTGCAACCCACAATTTTCTCCACTTGCGTGGTACGTATTTATATATTTTTCTTCATCTTGATTGAAAACAATTATCATGGTTTCATGGTATGTTTTTTTTTTTAAATGTAGGAGTAGGCACTATCCGAAACCAGGGAAAATACCATTTTCATCCCTATTATTTGGGGATGAGCCAATTGCGTCCTTATTATGTTATTTCAAACACATTTTGCCTCTTACATTTCAATTTTTGGCCAATTAAGGACAATTGTCAATTACTCTCTTAAGTTGGACTGAATTTAATATTTAATGAAACGTGTGAGAATCAAGCATGGGAGGCAAAAGATAGAAGCTAATAGACTAATTTATTTATTGTCGCAAACTCCCTTTACTTTGCTAACCTTAGCAAAACATCAAACACAAATCTGTAGAACAACCGCATAAAATAAAATACTTCAAGCACAAATCAAAAAATTAAATTTATGATGTTATGTGGTCCTTCTGGAGATTTGGTTCTGATTTTTGCTATGGTTCATAAGGTAATGGGAGTTTGTGACAAAGAGAGAAGCGGAGAGTGAGAAATGAGTTTGCTAGCTTTCGTCACTTGTTTTATTTGGTTGTAATTGATTGATTAACGATCGAATTTAGATCAAATTAAGAGATTACTTATCAATTATCATTAACTGGCCGAAAATTAAAAGATAAGGGACAAAATATATTTGTGGTAAAACAATAGATTCGAAACCGGCTCATCCCGCAAATAATAGGAATGAAAAAGCTATTTTTTTGTCTGAAACCAATTGGCATTCACCACATAACCAATTCATAATTAGGAGATATTAATTTTTTCCCTGATTAGGGGTATAATTAGTTCATGATTAGGAGTTAATTAATTTTTTCCACAATCAAGAATATAATTAGTTTTCAACAATGCCAACCAAAGAAACTTTTGGGCATTTAAAGATTTTCCTTTTAAGTACATTGATCAAGTCTCGCATGGACACGTAACACGAATCATAAGGCTTTGATCTTGGGTGCAGGCCCAAACCCAAAAGATCGTCGTGTTTGGTTGCTCAACTGTCTGACATCTGCATCGGTACTTCGGCAGCTCCAACATATTTACCTGGCCATTATTTCTAGACACGGGATGGCCAAGGGAATGTTCAAGAATTCAATCTCATTGATGGTGATGTTGTCGCAAATCCGGTATCGTCGCTTTAGCAATGCTATTTTAATGTCACTATAGGTCTGTTTTTTGTGGTAAATGTTTCGCAACTGAAAGTGTTGCTCATCACATGAATAAACGTTGACATGTTAATGTTGGCTTAATTTGTAAGGATAGGCTGCTTTTTCACAAAAAAGTCATATATTCGAATTTCATTATCAATGTGAGAATTATATTAATGAATGATTTGTAAGAACTTTTATAAGTAATTTAAGGTTTCCGGGGCATGCCCTTACCTTTGATGGTGATCGGAATTAGATCTAACCAAGTTTTTGTATTACCAAAAAAAAATGTGATATGCTGGTTTTATTGTATTTGCAGACAAAATTAGGGACGATCCAAGTTACAAAAAAAGTACTGGACCAAAATCCGGATTTCTTTTCGATTGAGACCAAGGATTTTGGTCATTTTCTAGTGATTTCACTAGGCAGTTGGCACAGGACCGGCAAGATTCCAACCCAAGCACAGTTGTGAAAAAGCAGCAAAATGGAGCAGCCTAATGATGCTGTGTGTCGTCAGGGACTAGCAGGTATACAGATCTGACTAAATCAAAAGGGTGTTGTGATGCGAATCGATTCTCCAAGGACCACTCGAGAAGAAATCGAATCGATCAGGCAGCGGAAGGATCTATCTTGATCAGGTTATGGGTATAAAAGACGGATTCTAAACCAATCAAGGACAACTCGAAATTGTTTAGAACGGTAGAATGACGCCACAATTCAACATGGTCTTGAATTGATAATGCGAAACTTGAACAAAGGAGATTCGACTCACTTTGTATCAAGGGACGCTCCCCAAGGAACAACAGAAAACTCTCAAATTTTATTCATAATTGTCTTCTCCGTCATATATCATAAGCTTGGCTATTTATAGCCTTACAAGACTCAAAAACCTAATCTAAGTTGGAAACAAATCAAGTTTCCTTATTTGACTTGACTTCTAAACTTGACACAATTTTCTAAACAAATTTGGAAGCAATTAACTATTTTCCTAAAACTCTAATTTAACTAGAATAGGAAACTAACTAACTCAAATTGGCTTAACTATGGTCAACATGACCTTAGCCTTTATTCCCTAATTCAAACAACTTACTTAACTCTCAAATTAACTCTAATTAACAACTAAAATGGCTAAAAACTCAATTAAATAAATGATAACAAGAAATAAGCATGACACGGGGTTGGATCTTCAATGATTCTCGAGCCCGATTACACCATCAACCATCATTGGAATGTAAAGACTTGTAAAATGAATTTTCTTGGACTTGAAAGGAATCCAATTCTTCATGTTCTCATCATTCCCCTCCACTTGAAAGAGGATTTGTTCTCAAATCGAGTGCTTCCTTACAAAGGAGTAACTCGGAGAATGTCTTGATATATGCAACCCACGAAGCATGTCTGCCTTTTTCTTTTGTCCGAATTGCTGTCTTGAAAAGGGATGACAAGTAGCGGCCTAACTCCCTGAAATATAGGAAAAGATGGCCGAATGTGAGGATAAGATGAATGGGTTAAGAAAAAACCCTAAAAAGTAGGAGAAGTGGTGGCTAAAATGTAGGGATAGATCTTTGTAACGGGTTAGGAAACTGGGTTGGGAGTGTTTTGGGAATGGTTAGATCAGCAGGTTCTTTGGAAGTCAATCAATATTTGAAAATTAATCAAGATTTGGCAATCAATGAAGATATCAATTAAGATTTGGAAACCAATCAAGACTTGGAAATCAATCAAGATTTGGAAACCAATCAAGACACAACTCACTTTGGAAACAAACACAAGGAAAAAAAAAATTTTCGGATGAACAGTTCTGCTACAATACTATAAACAGTACTGTTACAGTAGCGGCGGATGAACAGTACTGCTACAGGTGTGAACAGTACCGATGAACAATAATCCGTGAATAGCCGATTTTTTTTTCTGCTTTTGATGACTCGACACAAGGTTACGACTTCACTTGAAAGAAATTTAATGGGAGTTAAACCCTTGAAAAACCTGTTTTCAAGAACGTAATCACACCAAAAAATTTCAATCTCGATCAATCACAGGGTAGGTTAGACTCAAGTGATAAAATCAAGAAAACAAAAATCAAAATTTTTTTTGTTTCTTTTAAATCAAAAGGCGGCTAGGGTTTAGAAAAATAAATAGAAAAAAAATAAAAGGATTTTAACCTGAATCAAGAGTCGAAACTCTGATACCAGATGATATGAACTTGATTCTCCAAGGACCACTCGAGAAGAAATCGAATCGATCAGGTAGCGGAAGGATCTATCTTGATCGGATTATGGGTACAAAAGACGGATTCTAAACCAATTAAGGACAACTCAAAATTGTTTAGAACGATAGAATGACGCCACAATTCAA